TAAAAACTTTTCAGCGAATATTTCGTTGGTTTTTAATGCATATAAACCCGCGCATTATTAATTATCATAACCAACCATACATTTTTGATCCGCCACCGATTGACATTTGTACGGTAAAATTGAAGATTGCGTGGAACTTAGTTAGCTAATGGCAGTGGGGGAATATCTAACAACAGTGGCACCGCAATGTCTCATCGGTATAATATGTGCACGATAAGAGTATTACAGCTCACGGATTACGGATCGTCACATCATCATCATCATCATCAAACAAACGACAACAGACGAGTAAATAAAAAATAAAAAGATTACGAATTATTCAAGTCTTGTATTATGAACTACTTCCCGATAATAATATAAAACCTTAAGACTGCAGCGACGTCATTATTTGGGGTGCAACAGCAGGATGAGTGGTTTTACTCGATTTTTAACAACACCTACTTAGTGACTCGGGGTGAAATTTAATATTTTTGCACAACATCATTGATAGGGCTGTCAAACATTGTCGTTAATACAATACAGGTGGGTAAACAGTACAAAATATAATACCACCCCGTGTTATTAACGTGTTAACTTGGCGCGCACGAGCAACATTATACATTACGATTTATAATGAACAATGGTCGTTACAGCGTTAATATCTCATCATCATACGCGTAAGTGCAAACATGGCTAAGACTTGTTATATGCGTTCTCGGGCAGAACACGTGGATATATTTCGAAAAGACCCCACGACCGACAATTAGCCTACCGCGCGCACAATTGGCACCCCCTCAAACTGGAATGGCGCCACTGACCTTTCGCAGTTATCAGTTTTATTAGTATACGGGGCACGGTTAACGCACGGTCGACGACTCTCGGACCCTTCGAACGTCATTGCACGCGGCGGCCGTCTGCTGCACGCGTACTCCAACAAAGACTTTGGGGCTACTGCGGCAACGTATCCCACCAATTGCACCGACGGCGGTATTAAAGCGTACACGTAAAACGGTCGTGTGGTGTACAATATTTCTTTAACCGAACACAGAAACTTTTTTTTTTATAATAATGTTTCAAATGAAAATAAATTGAGCATGGTATCAGCTTTGTCAGATTTAGTGACCAATTAAACCATACATTTATTCGAAGCAATGAATATTCAAACAAATTTTTTTACGGACTGATCCAAGCACGCGGAATACTCATGAAAAATGTCTAAGCGGAAAAAAACAAGTGAAAACCTTAAAAGTTGTGAATAACGTAGCAAGCTAGGAGCAGACGCGGATAGAAGGGGGATATAGTGGTTGAAGCCCCCTCCCCCTCAGACATTAGGTAGAACCATATCGGACGTAAGAAAGACTTCGTACAAATCGACATGCGCAACGCATTATGGCAGTAACTCATTTTACCAGCCCTACCCCTTTTTTCATTTCTAGATCCGACATGGCGAGGAATATCTTTAATTTCATCTTTTAATTAAGTTTTGACCGATCAAGAGGGACATAAACAATTTTTACTTCAAATTTTCGAGAAACATCGTCAACAGTATTCTGACCCAAATGAAACAACACACAAAAATAAATGAACATGTACAAGGTGTCTCTTATGGATTGATTATTTTTATGATATGAACTTTTTTTAAAAAAATGAATCCTCGTTAGACGTCATCCTGTACACATAGTCTCGTTGCGGCTGGTTGCACTCGGAGTCGTATTACATTAGAACGAGTGTGCAGTTTTTACATTATAACATGATGTTAATAATATTATGTGCATGCACTGCCGTATGCGAAGTATTAGTGCGTAACCAGTTATATGCGTTACAAGAAAGGGTTGCTCACTTCCCTTGCCGTATAAAATACGTATCACATAAACGTATTTATAATTCGGAAAAACATTCACTTCGGCATTATAATAATAAAATTACTATAAAACTGTAATTCGTAAATTACACACACGCACACACGCTCGAATCCGATCGCGTCTACATAATATTATAATTTACTAAATAGTACGCAAACTCGAATTAGATATAGAGATTTTAATACTATCAAGAGGTGGCCCTTCGGTAGGATTCGAGTAAAAACATATTTAAATAAAACAACTGACCAATTCGACGGAGGAAGTTTGGCAACTGAAATCGACAGGTAGCACAAAAGAGAGAGCAGTGTGTACTTATACATACTTTGAATTTTGTGAAAAACATATCACTGTAATATAACAACATAGTACAAGAGTGATATTTGTATTCTAAAATTATCAAGACTAATCACTCATAAAAAATTTAGTATATTAGTTTTTACTTCTAAAAATCAATCGAAAGAATGCAATTCAGCTATGGTTGGCAACAACTATGTCCGATGTTAATCTTTTCTAGAAATTCCAATCTTAAATCTTCGTACGTTCATAGAAACTCCAGTTTACGTTTTTAATTATATTCTCCGATAGGATTTAAAAATAATTGCCGTTACTAAATTAATTTATATCACTCAACTTTTATTAAAAACTAGTCTAGGTTACGAATAAATAAAATTAAAAAAACAATAGTATCGTGACTGGCTTATCTAAATCTAAAAATTAAATTAAATTATCATGTATAAACTTGGTACAACTATTCCAAGTGATCAAGTTACTCTGGCAGGTCTTTAATGCATTTTGTTCTTTTCGGGTCATTATTTTATAATGTCTTATACATTAAGATTACTTTTTACAAGTTACGTGTATAACGGATAACCTAATTGAAAACATGTTAATAAAAATATAAACGTTCGATAGATAAACTTATCGTTTGCAACAGTAACACGCTTAATCATTACCATGATTATGTTATAAAATATATCATTATTCGATATACGTAGAGAGTTGTCCTTTTTTAGTTAATGTGAGAGACACGAGAAAATCAATCTTAAACGTTGGGTGTGTTCGAGTACCAAAAAACAAAATAATGTTAAGTTGTAAACAAAAATATATTTTATAAGTAACAGGTTCTTTTTGTAGTAATTTTAACCAAATTATTTTACAGAAGTATTTTAGATATACCGCAATAAATTTAAACAAATTATAGATAAATAAAATATAGTATTTTATGTGTGCTTTCCTCGACATGTTTTTGGTAGCGATAAGATTAGCGGAGACTCTATGGAAAAAAATCTTTTCTTTTCTGCATCCGTACAAGCAGTGGCGTACCTATGGGGGGGGGGGTTAGAGGTTAGGACCCCTCCATGAATCTGAAATGGTAAATTAACTTTTACATGAAACACGGTTTTATCTTTAACATTTTTATATTTTAGATTTTTGACTTGGAAATCATATTAACAGTTTGTATAAACATTATAAACGTATTATACACACGCTGCACACACACACACACACACACACACACACACACACACACACACAAAAGTCCTATATAATATTATGACCGTATATATACCATAATATTATTATGATCATATTTAGATACTTTACTACTATTTTGATAATTTTTGCTTGGGAACATAATATTTAGGTTTTCTACAACGGTTGATTCTAAATCGGTCGTCTGGTCCTGATAACTAAGATAAAAGCGATATCATTGTTTGAATTCAAAGTTTATTTTGGGTATACTTATTGCATTCACGGCTCGCCGATCATTTAAAACAAGCACCTTATTGTGTAAAACTAATAGTTATTACTTAATAGTTGTTATTTGGCTCGTTTGTGTCTCACTGTTTTACTTACTACTCATTTATTCGTTTATATTTGACATTTGTATTCTATTATATTTGTTTTATTTTAATTTTAAATCATTCTAAGACGTCTAAATATAGAATGGTGTCAAATTAAAATAAAACAAATATAATGAAATACAAATGTCAAATATAAACGAAACATTCCATTATAGTAAGATATTTTTAAAATTTAATTTTTAGTATACCTAAGTGATTGGACAGAAAATATTCTAATATCTAATATTTATGTTCCTATATTAATTATTAGTTCCTAAATTGTTATTATTATTATTTATTGTTATAGACAAATTCTCTAACAAATAAGCAGACTAGAAAAATTAATTATTTTTTTTACCCGAGTCAAAAAAACTAATGTCAACCAGACTTAAAAATACCGAGATCATTATAAATAGTAGTCAAAGTGATAGTGATAAGATTAAATATATATAAATTTGCTGACTCCCCCCCATAAAAAGTTCCTGGCTACGCCACTGCGTGCAAGAATAATGCGAATTCAGGGCCAGATTTCGAGAGTACGAAAAACATTTAATGACACCGCACGTTGATAAAACAATCGTGAGCTCATTGGAAAACTATGGGATAAACCTATTATCGTGTTTTTTAATTATACGGAACTACCATAAAATCGTTCGTCCAATAACCACGATAAATTCGTATTAACCTGTGCAGATTTAAGGACTGTGGTCAAGCGTGAAAAATTAATTAACGAATCTAGAAGGGAATCAATCACGGGGGCGTTGGAATGGATCACACCGATCAAGAATTAGTAGAAATCGTAACAATGAATTTCACGAGTAGTAAATTACCTAATAGAATGCTTCGGGTAAACAGTAACCGACGGACAGGAGTAGGGATCGTTGTAAAGAAAAACAAAAAAAAAAAAATTAGGGCCGTCGAGCTCCACATCGGGCCCGTTCAACTCGAGCACTGCAGCCGGTCCACGTATACGGAACGGAAAGAGAGTTGCCTCCGACGTAGTCACCTGTTCCGCCGGACGACAGAAGTACGAACACGGTATTATTATTACTATTATTTCAGAAGATAGTCGTTGACGATTAAGACAATCTGACAACTGTTCGACTCACCTGCGCGGGGCGACGACGTTTACCGTTATCACCTGGTACGCGAAGAAAACCTATCGGTCGCGCGCGGAGGGAGGAGGGAAATTAGAGTCCTTGATGTGGCCACACGTCGCCGCCGCCGCCGCAACAACTACTAAACTCCAGCGGCGAAGGGTGGCGGGCGCGAGGGGTGGCGGTCCGCGTGGAACGGCGTATAGCGGTCGACCAGTCGTCGCCGTGAAATCCGTTCGAATCGAGACCTGCGCGTGCGCCGTACTCTTGCGGTTATTACTGTATTAAGTGTTGTTTGTTTTCGCCGGCGGCGGCGGCGGCGGCGGGTACGCGTGGCAATATCGCGATCTCGACGGAGCGGTCCGGTCGTCGTTTCGCCGTACCTTACACGAGGAGATTTAAGTGCGTCGGGCGCACGGGCAAAAGATTAAAACCGTAAAAAAGGCTGGACACCGTCCGCGTACAGGTGGCGCCGCGAACCGTCTCGTGCACCGGTCTACGGCGACGATCGGTTATCGTCGCGTCGATTGCGCGCGTGGCGTGGCGATAACGCGCGCCCGAGTGATAGCGGTGTTCCGGGGCCCGGCGGAAGACGGACGCACGAAGCCACCGCCCGGCAGCAACGGATGATAAAAATAATCTATTGGTCGCCAAAAAAAAAAAAAAAACCGTTTGATTACGGTCGGACAGCGATGATAATCCTTAAAGGATCGCGGTCATTATGATCTCGGCGATGACGACGACGACGCCGGAGCAGTCAACGTCGTCGTAGCAACACGCACGCACGCACGCACGCACGCGCTTACGCACTACGACTACGTATAGGTAGTGTTTAGAGGTACGCGCCGCGTTCACATCCTTCGCGCGGATTCGCTCGACATGACGTGCCGCCACGGACGCCACTGTTGCTGCCGCCGTCACCGCCACTGCTGTCGGTCTCCTTGATGAAAAACGCGATCGGCCGCAGCGTTGTACAGCCGCCGACGACGACGACAAATGGGTAAGTGGCGCGCGCCGCCACTGCTGATTGCTCTTCCAAACGTCGTCGCTATTGTGTTACGTTCGTCTTACCGCTTCTCCTCTCTCTCTCTCTCTCTCCGTCGTCACGTCCATTATAATATTGTGTTGTTATTATTATTTTTATTATTATGTAACCCACCCACTACCTCTGTCGTTTTTGTCACGACGTTTTTTTTTCTTTCTCACTGTACTCTTTAATGGTGTCTCATACGTCGTGTTTTCGCTCGTGCAGAGGCTGTGGTCCAATTCGATTACGCGGCTCGGGAACCCGACGAGTTGACGCTGAAGAAAGGAGACGTCATCACTGATGTCAAACCGATGCTCGATGGATGGATGGAAGGGTACAAAGACGGCAAGAAAGGAATGTTCCCCGACAACTATGTTAAGGTAAGTACACTCTCTCTGAGCTGACTCTGCACTCTAATGGACCGTTGATTAATCGCTGTTGTTTGTCGCCTGTGCTTTACAGATAGTACATACGTCTACCAATGTTGTTCTAAGAAGAAGTAAGTTTAAGTCCTTTTCAAGTGCATACTGTTACCTTCGTATATACATGTTATTAATACAGACTTCTAATTCTAGAAAATGCTAGAAAATGTAAAGTGTTGTTCAGTTACAAACCGGCAAACAGAGATGAGTTGGAGTTGAATATTGATGATGTCATTGAAGTACTTGGTGAAGTCGAAGAAGGTTGGTGGAAAGGAGAGCTTAGGAATGAAGTGAGTACTGATTTTGCCATGTAGATACAATCAATCGATTTCAATGTTGGAATATTTATTTTATCTTTATTAAAATAATGTTTGACCATAATCCTTAACTTATTTGTATATTTTAATTCAATAGTTATTAACTTGTCAATGTTATTATTTTTATAAAAGTATCATTCAAAAGATAATTTTCTATCTAAATATAACTTGTTTTTATAATTAAAAATATTTAATCTGAAATATTAAAAATAATAAACATAGTAAACATTGATTTGCTTTTTCTGTGTTGTAAATTATACTGGATATATATGTCCTATGGAAATTGCAAATTAATGACTCTTAACCTTAATTAACTGTTTTTTAAACTATTATAGTACTTTATTTCAACCTCTTTTGAACTTAAATCTTTCCAATTGTGAAATAAATATTACATTTTCATTATGTGTGTCAGTTTTGTTTTTGTGTGGTCTTGCATTTTTAATATTTCTCTTGATATAATGATTTGTTGTTTTTTATGCTGTTAATTTTTCATTTTATTATGATGGATAACACAAGACATTCTTAATTTAATGATGAGTCATATCTTATAGACTTATACATATGTGTTATGTTCATTAGTGTACACCAAATTCATTAGCTTTGATTATATCATTTATAGTCAATTGGCAGTTCTTAACAAGTTATTTGACACTTTTTTTTTAATACACTTACCTACCTGTACACGTAGTTGTAGAACATGAGAAGCTAGATAGTTATTTTACAATGTTTTAAATATTGTTTAATTGTTCTTTGTTTTGAAAATTTAAAATATGAATCCTTAAGCTCATTTGCTTTATTAATACAGGTATAAATATTATACTAGAAAAATTATTATTAAGTTACAAGCACCTATATTACTAAAATAAAAAATAACTATTGTGTATGATATATCAATAACACTCTCTATCATTAAAAATGTGATTAAAATTTTAGCTATAATATTTAATTTGCAAATAAACTTAAACGAACATTCCTGAAACTTAACATAAAGTTCAAATTTAATCTCAATATCTTAAGAAATTTGCATGTACCTCCAATATTATTTTTTTATTACATTTTTATAATTATTAGTTAAATTGATACATATTATGTATTTATATATTTTTATAAAGCTTAGAAATTGTATTGATTTCATAATACCTCAATACCTAATAATAACTTACCATAATGATTTATGTATTAACACAAGACATTTGACAGTATTTTAAAAAATAAATCAACTTGTTTAATTTAATTGTCTACCTTAAAAAATAATCTTTATGTTTAATATGACATTTAATTAATAGTTTGATCTTTGTTCAGTTTAATGCTCAACTAATAGTTTGGTTAAACACTAAAATCAGTTTAGTTTATTTGACCATTAATTTAATGAAGTTTTTAAGTGATCCACTTTTTTCCTATTAAACTTTCAGTGATATTGACATTTTAGTAAAATTGAATACTTTAAATTTTTTTATTTGAATTATTGACAAGATTACTTTATTTTTGTACGATACATTTCTTACCAAAATTTTGCTATAGTCTTATTAAATTTAGATACTTCATTCAAAATTATGCTAAGAATTGTTTAAATTACTATGTTTTATATATTTAACACTATTTTATTAAAATATGTTGTTTATTAAACTTAAACGAGTAAAAAACTTTAAGTATTTTCAAACATTCATTATTAACTTTATAATTTTTAAATGTACATTGTTTAAACAATTATTTAAATTTTAATTCTTTTTATTTATATAATTTAAATTTTTTTAAAAATTATAAACTTTTTTTTTGTTTCCTAATCATTTTCACCACCGATTTCTTTCCGGTTTTCATTTTTTCACTTATTATATTCATCTTTTTTCCACTACACCATACTTCCATTATCATTAACTTATGTTATACTTGAATATAATATTGTATAGCCCTCTCCTATTTCTTTTGCTTTCTCTCATTTCCACTTAGTTTCCTGAACACAACAAATATTAACTTTCATCCTTTTCAATACTTCTGCTAATTCTCTACATTTGCATGTTAACGTTCCAACATTCCACGTGCCTATTCTCACTTTATACCTATCTCACATACCTAGATGCAGATTTAACCCGGAGCGCAATGGTGACATCTTTACACCGTTGACATTACCCATGTTGAGTAGACCTGAACATAACTGGTGAATCAGTTACCACACTTGCTGTTTAGTTGGAATTCTACACTTTATCATCTAGCCCTCCTCCACCTCTGACTTTGATACTTCTTCGTGCTTGTCGTCTCCACGCATATCCAAAATAGGATAAACCACCTAAGTTTTGTTTTGGACTAAATATACTCTTTGACTAAATGTTTACGCCGGTTGTCAACCTGATGCAACCTCATTTAGTTGCCTTTTACGAATGGCTGAGAAACAATGAAGTATTCTGATTCCCTTCTACAGGGGGGAACATTATTCAAATGTATAAAATGTTTATTAATAAATATTTATATGCATGTGTTATTATATTTTTTAAATTGTTTGATATTGTAGATTTAGCATATGTAAATGTCATAATTAATTATTTTAAAAATTAAATGTCATAATTAATTATTTTAAAATTGTTTAAATTAATTTATGATTAAATGTATTTAATAGATAAATTTATATTTACCTTAGATCGGAGTATTTCCATCTAATTATGTCACTGAAATTTCGGATACTAAAAGTATCAGTAGAAGTGATTCCAAAACTTCCACTGGATCTCTTAAAAAAGAAGATACCACTAAAAAAGGTATATTTTAGATATTTGTTGATTATATAATATTTTTAATGATTTTTTTATTAAAAAAATTATCAAAAACCTAAATGTATAAATTACACTTATTTTTATTCTGTTTCATATAAATTATTCATATAGAAAAATTGATTGTGGAACCAGTAAAAACTCTAGATAATACAGAACCTAATGCTCCAGTACTGCCTCCAAAACCAGGTATAAAATAATATATTCACTCAAAATACCTTTATAAATCAATTGAATCTATTAATTTTTAATTTAAATTATAATAATATACATTTTATAAAAAAAAATATTTTTATTTAAATTATTGTATTTAATGAATAAACTAATTGCCTAAATATCATTCACATAAACTGATAAGAGCATACAAATAGTATGATATTAGTTTAATCACTTGAAAGATAAATACCATTCAGATAAATAATCTTTTAGTAATTTTTGTTAATACTTTATTAGTTTAGTTTGTGACTCATTTTTTAAAATTTATTTGGAAATAATTGTTTATAATTAATTAATACATTCAATTATTTATAAATTAACTATTTACTTACAAGATAGGCTATTATAGTTATCTACTTATTTGAAAATTATGAAATATATTAAAGAAAAATTGTTTCATTGTAAGTTTCCTCAGTATAGTAGTTCTAAATACTCATTCTTTCAGTCCTAATTTTATATCTTAAATTTGTTTTAATCATTTATGTACTGATCAGTCAAAATACATTTTCTTTATTAATTAAGACAATTGACTAAGATTTAATTTAATACAAAAGTATAAAATTCTATAAAAAAAAAAATTTATTTAAATTAATTGTACACTCATTTTTACATTGTATAAATATGGTATATGCTAATCTCCAAATTTTATTATTTTAATGTTTTTAATTAGCAAAAGATGTTTGTGTTGCACTGTTCCCATATGAAGCTGTCAATAGTGATGAATTAACATTAGTCGAGGGTGATATAATAACAATTTTATCTCGAGAAGTAGATGATAAAGGTTGGTGGAGAGGAGAACTTAAAGGAAAAATTGGTGTATTTCCTGACAATTTTGTTCAAGTAATGAATCAAGACGAGGTAATTTTTTTTTGTTCAAATATTGTACACCTTTATACTATACCCATTTATTATTTTTTACTACTATTTACACATGTTTTTTTCCTATTGTTGATTCAGTTGGCAAATAAAACTGAAAAATGTGCGAGTAGTCCACGTAGCAGCACAACGGCTTCTCTTCGAAAAGTTTTTCAGAACCAAACGGAAAATAAATCTCTGGGACCAATTGTGAGCAAAAAACCAGCTCTGCCACCACCACCACCCACAACTAAAAAACCACCAACAGCTAAAAGTTCTTCTACATCTTCCATAGGAAAAACCATTAGTGGTATTAAATCAATGTTAAGTTCGGAACAAAATTCTGCAGACAAGATTAAACATATAACATCTGAAGGCAGTGAATCTAAAAATTATGGTTCTATAGCTGTAAAACGTTCAGAATCCGTGGGCTCCATGAAGAAAACATCAGATTCACCAGATGGATCATGTATGAGTAGATCAACTTATCATGTATCACCATCATCTTTTCCAGAATCATCTCCATCTTCATTAGTATTTACAAATGTATATTTATTTTCTAAGCTAACACTAAGTAATTTTTTTCTAATCATAGCATGTTGCATATTTTTCTTAGCACGATAATCATACACCTGAACCCAAGAGTCCTGATTTCGATCAAATAGAAAGATCTGCTATGCTAAGTCATCCAACCGCATCTCGTGCTAAGGCGCCTAGAAGAAGACCACCATCTGCAGCGTTCAATGTGGTCAGTGAAAGTGATCCTGCTTTGGAACATCCACCAACAAATGGAATACCAGGTGTGGAAAAAGAAAAAGCCCCGTGGGTTCTAGAGTTGAAAATGAATCAAGCTAAGAAGTCTTCAACTGCTAATTCAGTTACTGGTATTTTTTATTTTTTATTTTTTTTTATTTATATTTCATCTTATTCTGTTTGGTTAAATAAAATGTGTTTATAAATATATTAAGGAGGAGGTAGAACAAGAGTAATGATTAGCCCGTCTACAACTACCATTACATCAGAAAGTTCAGAAACCACTACTGTTACATCTCGGTCTGGATTGACTTCAGTAGGTGTTGGTGGTGTGGTTTTTAAGCCTGCTGGTTATGTACCTCCACTTACTACACCTGAACCGGTTACAGTCAGTACACCAACCAGTCCTGTTGCTCCTGTATCTGCTGATTTTAGTCCGTCCACACCATCTGTGGAGAGAAGTTTGATTGCTGTACTAAATGAAAAGGTATTTAAAAATGTACTACATCTACATGAAAAATCTTAAATCCAAATAATAGGAGTAGTATATACTGATTTTAAATATAGGTACAAATATTTTTTCTATTCTCATTTACTGTATCAAAATTATAAATAATTCTACTATTTAATTAAACACACTATTTAAACACAAATTGTGTTTATGTAGTATGTGTTCTACTTTTGATTAATTTTTTTAATAAAATATCAAAAATATAAAAAAATCAAATTCAGACATACTTTTTATCAATAATATTGATGAATATTAACAGTTTTAACTAAATCATTTATTGCTGACACTCGGTTTATTAACTCTCTTCTTAATAATAAACTGGATGCCTCTGACCTTCTATCTCGTTTTTAATTTAAAGTTCCTTCACATAATACTTGAAACAAACTCCTTTTTATATTCCTTCTTGCCTTACATTCTACAGCAATAACCATCCCCTGTATAGAATGCTTAGAATCCATTACTAGTAAAAAATCTATGTCGACCTATATTGTATTATTATTTTTACTAATATTCATTACATATAATATTTTATTTTTAATTGTATCATACTATGTATATTCTACGTTAAAAAAGTCGATTAGCATTAATCAAATAAGTAAATAACAATTGTATTTGATATTTAACATTTTAAAGAAAAATGAAAATACATGATTGTTTTCAGCAAATTTTGACCATTTGAATTAAAATAAATAAGTTTACTTCAATTTTATGATATTTGAAATTTTAACTTAAAATACAAAACTATTTAGTATGAAATTTACTTTTATACACAATTTAATTATTAATAATATTGTAAGTTACATATTATTTCTTACTTAGATTTAAAATTTTAGCTCTAAACAGTCTATAGTATTAATTAACTATTTTATTTTGTATTAAGGATACATTTTAGATTTGAAGCATAATTATTTTGAATTTGAAACTAAATACAAATTAATATTAATAAAATAATCTAAAATAATAATTCACTATGTTCAGAATTATTGTTTTCTTATACTGTCTTATTTTTTTATAGGTGAAACAATTGGAGTCTACTGTCCAATCACAAAATAGTTTACTTGATAAATTGTCAACTAAATTAGATATAGAGACAGAAAAACGAATAGAGATGGAAAAAGAAATAAAAAAAATCATGGAACTTGTAACAAGAGTATGAGGTGGATAAAAGTATTTCCATAAAAATTAATTAAAAATAGTACGTAAATAAACATAATCAAACAAGTACTTAGGTAGAACCTTAACCAATTTGTTTTATTATTATTATTATTATTATTATAATTATGTATTTATGCATTTTATTTTATAGTTCATTCAATTTTCATATATTACATACATTCAATCAACTAGTGGTAATACTAATTCATTCCAAAAATATAGACCAAAACAATCCCATTTGGTTTATTTAAAGAAATCTATTATTATTATTATTATTATTATTATTTTTTTTTTTTTTTATGTACTAACTTAATTTTTATATCATCTAATATCTAATTATTTTTAATCTTCTAGTCTTCAAAGTCCTATTGTTCATTATTTTCATTAATACTATTGGTTAATTATTGTAATTTTTTGTGTACTTTAATAATCATTCCTTACATTTTTCAGTACTTTTTGAACACAAAATGTGATGAACAATGATGCTTGTTACAGTAAATCATTGACAATTTCATTCCCATACCACTATCTCTTATTACTATAGAAAAAAAATATCTATGCTTTAAAACAAAGTTGGTAATTTAAATTCTAAATTCTAATTGATATTAAAGAAGTAATTTTGTATTTTGTTTGTCTCAAAAGTAGGACATAATACAATTTATCAAATTTATTGTGTAGGTACTACTGAATAGTAGCTCATTTCCCGAAGAATTTTAAAAGTGATTTTTGTACTTTTTTATCATTCCTTAAAGTTACACATTGTATACATATTACTATATGTATAATTCAAAATTATATACACATATGAATTATTTTATATTTAAAATTGTTCTTAACCAGAATTGTTTTTAGTAAATGATAGTTAGATATTTATTAAGTATACTGTTAAGTTTCTTTATGTATATTTAGACTGCTGAAAATGTGGTTCTATGGTTTTCCAAAACGGATCTATGAAAAAGTAGATAGTAGTATTGTTAATCGGATGTTCAGTTGTAATTTTGTAGAGTTTGCATGGCCATGAGAATTCATAAATGGATTCTTTTTAACTCTGATATGAATTATATTTTTTAATGTTTTATTTCCCTAGTCTCATTTTTATACTATCAAATTTATAATGTGCAAAATTATTTATTTTTTATTGTAACATGTCGATATCATTAAGTCATTGCTGAACCATTAACTACCATATTATGTTTAGCCAATTATGTTGTATTTTTAAGAATCATTAATTCTATAGTAATTATTTTAATATTATTTTTACTAATTTATTTTTAGACCAATTTTAGTTAATTTTTCATTCAGCGAATTGTGTATATATTATTTTTATTTTATATCTAGTGTTTTTAAAGACAAACTCCATGTGCTTGAAAATAAGACAGTCGACTGATTTTGCACACATATTCTGAATAATGTCATGTACAACGAAATTTAATACATTATGTGTCTATTTTTCAAGATTAATTTGCATCTCCTAATCTAACTATTCATCCGTCTCATAAGCGACCATTACTATATAATTAAGTAAATGTTTTTACATGAATATATTTTCATAATTGTAATCTTGAAAAAGCAATTGACTAGAAAAAAAATATAAACTTTCTAAACTGTATCAATGCATATAATATATCTCAGAAATTTGTATAAGCTGATGACAATGTTATATGATTATGTACCATTGATTATTATAAATTATTTTTATCTTAGGAAAATATTATTCATATATTATTATTATTATTAATTATTATAAGTTGTCCAACGGTGTCATATATATTTTATAAATTGTTAATTTTTATTTTCAATAAAAGTATTAAAAAAAAATTGTGTAATAGATTGTGATATCACTTTGATTAATAATCAATAGTAGTCTATGTTAGCTTTCAAACGTTTGATCATCCAAATTATTTATACCTACCTAATTATTGATTCTATTCTTGTTTAATACCATAGATGAATTTAAAGACTGTGTGAGATTACCTCAGCTTAATTCACATAACTTATTGAAGCAGCAAATGTGTTTCTTCAGAAAATATATTTACTTGTATAGTTTCTTTGTTTAGTTAAATATTCACTAATATTCAGAATATGAATAAAATCTCATGAAGAAAAAAGATCACTTAAGCCCAATAATAACAACGATTTATTTACAAATCACTACAGATGAATTCCACTTTGTCCGTGTAAATGTAGTTAAGTAATTGTGTACACGTTAGAGCCCAGACCATCAATTAAAATAATTGTAAGTATTATCTTTATTACCTTTAGTACCACTATAATGTTCATTGTTTTTTTTAATGCATTTTGTCGACGCGATAATTTATATTTAAACTGATATTACAGGAGGCAAGGGCATTATTAAGACGTCCGACATTTTAAGACATCAAGGATGTGTACGAGTACGTCGCCACATAAACCGATATAAAGTTTAGTATATTTAACAAGTATTATTTGTATCGACTAATGACCGCCATTCTGTTGAAACAAACCACGTCCCAGAAACGTTGAAAATTGTTCGATGTAAACGTTAGAGATCATCACTGAACATACGCGGTGTCGAGTTTTAAGTCCACCCACGTGCCAGATGTTAGTAGATGTAGACGGCTTTCGTCGTTTTATTAGGCTTGATCGAAGCACACGCAGTAGCATCAAAAAAAGAGTGAGAGAATCATGATCCGTTTTAGCGGTAACGTACGATGAAGCCGATGTTCTGATTAGGTCTGGACCAAGAAGCCGCGAAAATGTTGCGAACGGCCAATAAGACCGTGTAACTGGTATACAGTAAGATAGGGGTACACGATTGAATAGGATAAAACGGAACGGGTCAACGGCGTTTAAGATTACTGCTCGAAATTATTACAGCTATTGAACATGTTAAAAATAGCAAATTACGTGTTACAAAAGCGTTTGGAAAACGTTTAAGTTCGAATTGCACAAATGAGTTTCGACGGTATTGACGAGTAGTCCGCCCAGATACTCTGTACCGCGCGAATGAGCTCGGCCGTTCGAACACCCAGACGAATACAAGGATGTGTGGCGGCCACGAAAATGTTTCCTCTTGTCGGGGAAGCCATGACTCAACTTTGTCAAGATCGATTTAGATCGTTTCCGGAGGTACCGGCCGAGGTCGACAAGATTTGAAAGTCTATATGATTTCGCTCACACGATAATAACGTCGTTGTCGTAATAGTTCGATAAAACGGGACGTTATAATTTTGTATTGCCAGGGGTTACCCAGTGGCGTCGCGAACCATGATTTTCAGAAGCGGTTGCTTCTGGAATTTAGAGGAGTTGGCTTGGGTTGGGTGGAATGTTACTTCGTCACTTATTGATAAACGGTCAGGTATATCGGAAGACAGCAGTGAAATTCGTATGAACCTTAAAATGTATGGTGTAGAGTGAACGCTAACACCGAGTCGATTGGTGTGGTGTGATGGGTCATTAATAAATTGTTCGCTTCTATATTCTTTATGGTTTGCTACGCCATTGACCGGGCATCATCGTTAACCACTCGCAGGATATTTATAAACACTTAGAACATAAGGAGGGGGGTGGTCGGAGTAACGAACACGGTTTTTAGCCGTCGGTTGGTCGTTGTACGCTACACGTTTTCAGAGGGTTTGCGGGACGCGACGTACTTCGGATATTTAAAAGTGTGATCGTTGGTTTATTCGATTTTTCCCGTGTACCTAGTCCGGCATTCGTGGACGCCGCAGTCGTGTTACGTTCCCCACCTAACGCCATTGTAAATATTTTTCTACGCCCATTGCATTATCGTGCCCACGCGATATTATTATTGTATCACGGTTATTACCATTGTTGTGCGCGGTTTTCGTGTTTCTGGCCCGATCGGTTTTCAATGCGCACGCGTGCATCTCGGCGAGCATCGCTACAACACCGGCCGGTCTTGCTGCAGGCCACGACGGTCGATCCGCACGAGTCGACCAGAACCGTTTCTGTAATATTTCAATTAATACCGTCCGCTCTCCCCCCCCCCCCCCTCACCCAGCTGTCGTACGATAAGTCGGCAACAATATACCATAATAACGTTACGGACTTGATAATGCCATCACGCGTTGCCCGTGTAGTGTTGCGCGAGCGGTTCTTATGATTATTCTCCCGACCAGCGAAAAGAGGAGGATAGATTAGTCGACGAGTTCAGTGGCTTCTCGGGGCAGCAGGGTCCGTCGCGCACGGAAGCGTTTCAGACGTTTCGTCAAAGTTTGACGGCAGCTTCGTGTGCAGCCCACCAGGCAGTGCCATATTTCCCAGTAAACACTATTATAGTGTTTACTGTTGCTAGTGTTTAGGGCGGCAATTTCTCTAGGATGACGAATAATTTTTAATATTACATTTTTATACCGTGTAACTAAAATACAACTGATTACAAAACGTTTTATTTTATTAAAGCCAATGGCACTAACTATTTACTTTTGAATATCATTTAAAAATTAACTATTTAAGCATTTTTTACTACCATGTTTTTATCATTATATTTTTGTATCATATTTTTATAATTAAATTTTTTATATAAATGCGTTCTTATGACAGCTGTATATTTTTATTTTACATCATTAAAGTTTTAAGTAATAAAGGAAACAACTATAATTGTATGCTTCAATAACATTTTGTAGTCTAGAAAAATATTTAAGGCGGTAATTTGTTTAGTGTTTAAAACGGCACAGTGGTTTTAAGTCCGGCACTGCCACCAGATCCGTTCGCGGGACGCGTGCATCCGATGCAAACCTTCAGCGGTCGTACGAAACCGCATGTTCCGCGTTTTCGAAAACCCCAAGCATTACCCGTAAAAACGGTATCCTCTGCATAACAATCCAATCGAACAGCGGAAGCGCAACAAAGCAGCCCCAACCGATTATAAAACTTTCGGCCGCGCGCACGAGCAGGGACGGATCTAGGGGGGGTTCAAGGGGTCAGCTGACCCACAGTTAATATTTGTTGACAAAATTGGCCTCTTCGAAATTTTATTTCTCTTTTTAGACCTTGATTTGGACTCTTGGACAGTTGGTCCATCGGAGTTACTTGAAAAATGAATGCCATGTATATTCGAAATTTAAAATTTTTCAATTCATAATTTATATTTTATACGATTTTAAATACGATTCGTATTTATCTGTTCATGTTTTTTTTTTTTTTTTTGTGATTTTATGTTCATGAGTGACAGGAAATGGGTTGACGGCGGCGTTCCTTCGTACTCGTAGTAATGTTCATATATTTTCCCAGTGCG